TCCACACTCACCAGCCTGCACCTGCACTGCTGGGAAAGCTCTCATCAGCCTGCTGCTTTCCTCCTCCTGGCTGTCAGATTTTCTCTTTCCTCCTTGCCCTCTACAACATTTCAGGGCCAACCCATGCCTTTCTGAACATCTGCCTTGAAAGTCTCAGTCTTCCATCCCCATTCCTTTCCATGGTCAGCTCTGGTCAGCTCTGGACTAGGAAGGCCTCTGACTGCCACTGGGCCCCTCAGGTTCCCTCTTCTGCAGTTAGCACATAATCCTTGGCTTCAGCTTCACCCTGCACTGCCTCAACCCAGAGCTCAGATTAGGAGAGTTAAATAGGGGAGGGTGCCCCTCTATGCCTAGCTGTGCCTCCTGTTCTGGGAGCCCACCCCTGTGTAAGACTAAGGCCCGAGACAAATTTCATTTGCCCTGGAGGGGAGCACTGAGGTCAGGAATGCTGCTGATAGAGTTCACAGCTTTAAGATTCCCCCAGATGACCTGGGCCAGAGGGGGGAGCCACAGCACTCCCTTTTGCTTCAGTCTTCTCCTGACTTCCATCCACCTCTATGCCAACTCTCTGGATGAAGCCAGGAGCCAGGAGTTTCTTCCAGGTTTCCCATGTGGGTGGCAGGGGCTAAACAACTAGGACTTTTCTTTTTGTATTTTGATTTTTTAACTTTTATTTAATAAATATAAATTTCCAAAGTACAGCTTTTGGATTATAGTGGCTATTCCCCCCATAACTTTCCTCCAACCACAACCATCCCATCTCCCACTCCCTCTCTCATTCCATTCTTCATCAAGGTTCATTTTCAATTATCTTTATATATGGAAGATCAACTTAGTATATACTAAGTAAAAATTTCAGCAGTTTGCACCCACAGAGATTTAAAATGCATCCCCAGGCCATTAGTGGAATGCTGGATTGGAAGTGGAGCAGCCTAGAGAACTGGAGCCCATATGAGATAGTGTTGCAGGCTGCGGCTTTACTTCATAGGCCACAAAGCCAGTCCCTGGAAGGACTTTTTGAATTTGAGTAAGGACATGGCTGTCATTTCTTTTCCAGTGAAAAGTTGCCATTAGGCTATACTATAAAATATGCATATTATGGTGTATCAACACCATACAATCAATTGAATAGGCTACATGGGGAAATCCAGAAACAAAGCAGAATCTACTTCAGTATTGGCAGTGACTTTCGTGGATGATGGAATCACAGGGTTATTGTTCATGTTAATGCTTTTCAGAATTCCCTTTCTCCAAAATGAACAACATTTTCTTTAGAATAAAGGAAAAAAAATCACCCATGAGTCTGCTAGCTTGATAAAATCTCAGTTATTACAGTTTGGACACCTTTTCCTTTCCAAGTGTTTTTATACAGGTATAATCATGATGTACATACATTGTTTTATTCTCCTTTTTAACAAGACGTGAATTTATTTATATGAGAGGTTTTATATACAGCATTGAATGCATGATCCATAAAATATAGAATGTGAGCTGTGTTAACTAAAGGTGTTCTCTAACATATTATTTAAATAGAAGATAAGCCCCACAATGGGAGATAACACTTGTAAAACATATATCCACAAGAATTGCCTGCAAATTTCATGAAGCTTGTGACATTTAATAAGGTGATAAATCCTCCAATTTAAACCTAAAAAATTGAGTTGTATTTACATAGGATATATGCAGATTAGAAATAAATACATACAATATATTGAACTTTAGGGAATTATGAGATAAAAGAATGAATGTTCCATAAAATTAATGCAAATTAAATGCCAATGAGGTAGAAACACTACATATTTATAAAATGGTCTTAATAAACAATCATTTTGGTGCCAATTTTTACTAGGATGTAGAGTATTCAAAAATATTATTCATTACTGGTCAAAATGGCTAAATCTTTCACAAGATATCTGGATAAGGTATTTTAAAGCCTATGATAGTATCCTTATACAGTGCAGAAAGGATGTCCTGATAGATTTACCCAGCTAACTGGAAAGCTTAAACCCACAATCTAGGATAAAAACATACACAGCAGCTTTATTCCTAATGCCTAAAACCTGAATGAAATCAAAATGTTCTTTAGTAGATAAACAGAGAGCCAAGCTGTCACAGTAGGTGGAGGCTCTTGAAGGCACATGGAATTAGGAAATATGGGGCCTGGACACTGGACATGGGGACACAAGAGAAAAGGCATGGGCTGGAGTCACAGGGGTTCCAGAGACACAAGGAAGACATTGGCTTCAGGCAAGTAGCAGGCAGACAGCTGAAGGAAGCCGTAGTTGTAAGCAAAGGGCAGAGTGGTACCCACAGGCTTCCATGAACTGGGAGTAAAGGGACAAAGTCACTGCAGGGCAGGAGAAAGGTCGCTCTATACAGAGAAAGACTGGAGACACACAAGTCCTGACAGGTTGTATGGACAAGGGAGGTCAGCACTTAGGGAAAATTAGGGCTACATACAGAGTGGCTGGGGACCCATGGGGACTGGCATGGTGTGCAGGCCCAGCAGGAGACTTGCAGAGAGATGTGCTGTACATAAAAGGGATGAGGACTCTCACAGCTGGGACATGCTGCAGACACAAGGAGCAGAAGCTTTAAAGAGCTGGCTTGGATGACACTTTTTAAATGACAAAACTATCAAAATGAACAAGGGTCCCAGATAAAGGAGATGTTGAAATAGCAAATAACATATGGGCTTTAGGAACAGGATTAGAGATAAGCAAAGTGAGCAGACACATGGAACTGGAAACATTAGGAGGCAGACAGGGCATATTATTATAGGATTTGGAAACACAGCAAAAAATACAGGAGATGCAATATAAATTGTCACAGTAGGTGGAGACCTGCTTAGAGAAAATTTAGAGTCTCAAGTGATTGAGAACCAGTCATTATGGCTTCCTTTTTTAAAACTGATTTGTTTATTTATTTGAGAGAGAGAGAGAGAGAGAATCTTCCAACATTCCACTGGTTCACTCCCCAAATGGTTTTAATGGCCAGAGCTGGGCCAGTCTGAAGCCAGGAGCCAGGAGCTTCTTCTGGATTCCCCACATAAGTGTAGGGCCAAGCATTTTGGCAATCTTTTGCTGTCTTTTCCAGGCCATTAGCAGGAAGCTGAACTGCAAATAGAGCAGCCTGGACTCAAACTGGTACCAATATGGAATGCTGGGGTTGCAGGTGGCAGCTTTACCCACTATGCCATAATGCCAGCTTCCTGCAGTTTCTTTCTTAAGAACTAAAATTAACTATAGAATAAACCACACAAGAGAGGCAAGTAAAAACAGGCAGGCATCAATGAAACCTGTAGAAAAATGCACAATAGAAATAAGGAAAAAAAGTTTTTAAAGCATATTAACAAAATTAATAAAAATTAGTATAAGTCATTAAGGAAAGCAAAGAGAAATACCATACAAACAACCAGCTTCAGGAATCCAAATAGCATCATCTTCAAAAATTTTCTTTTTGTTTTCATTTTAAAGATTTATTTGAAAGTCAGAGTTACAGGGGAGGCAGCAGAGTAAAGAAAAAAAAGAAAAACAAAGAACTACACACATACACATGAACACACACACACACACACAGAGAGAGAGAGAGAGAGAGAGATATCTCCCATCCCTTGGGTCACTACCTAAATGGCTACAGTGGATAGGGAGGCAGAAGCCAGGAGTGAGGAGCCAGGAGATTCATTTGGGTCTCCTGTGTTGGTTGCAGGGGTTCAAACACTTGGGCCAGCTTCAGCTACTTTCCCAGGACACTTAGCAGAGTGCTACATTAGAAGTGAAGCACACAGGACTTAAATTGGTGCCTTTATGGGATGCTGGCATCCCTGATGCAGCTTTACTCATTACACCATAAAGCCCCCCAGATACCCTCCTCCATTTATAAACCTTAACAAGATAGTAAGTATTATGAGAAATAGTTTGGAGTAAAAATTTTTTAAAGAGATATCAAGTCACTGAATTTTGGAAACCAATATACCATAACACAGATATTGCATACTGTAGAGAACTTCCATATAAGTTAAATAAGACTAATCAGTAGTTGAAAAATCAAATCAATGAATTTAAAAATTCCACAAGGAAAATTTCAGACTCAGACTTAGAAAATTCTAGACATTCAAGGAAGGTTGTTGCTCATTTTCCCAGATTCATCTAAAGTGGCAATAGACAGAGAATATATTTGAATTTCTTTTGAATTCATTGCTTTACATTAGTGGACACAGATCAGGTGGAAAGAACTTAACATAAATCTTTAATAAAAGATACAGGTATTTGAAGCAAAATATGAAAACAGAAGAGATCAACAACAAGCAGGATACATTAGAAGATGCAAAGATGATTTAACATTCCAAAATAATCCAAGTAAATAATTCATGTGTAAGAAAAATATAAGTAAATCACATGAATGTTGAGATTAAATGTTGAAAAGCTTTTAATAGAACAACTTATAACTATAAAAAGAACAGAAAAAATGATAGCAGTTCCCTAATTGTAATTAAGACTAGCTACAGAGAAGTAATAATAAACAGCATAATTAACACAGAACAATAAACGATTTTTCCCTGGAAATAATCTTGGACAAGGTTTTCTCCCTCTCTCTTTCTTCAACATTGTCCTGGATGCATAATTAGGGAAATTAAACAAACAAAAAGAAATGTGAGGTATTGGGTTAGCTTTTAAGTAATAGAACTCTTAATGTATGTTAATGATATTAGTATATGTAGAGAAAATCCAACATAAGCCAAAACCAAATATGAGCTGATAGGCGAATTAACTAAAATTATTGGGTACAGGATCAATACAATCAAGTAGGTTACCAGGTCCCCGTAAAAAGCAAATAGAAAACAATGGTAACGGACAAAGTACAATCCAGAAAATGAATATCTGTATGAGAAATACTCTTCAAATCCGTATTTAACAAAATCAAATGACCTAACAGAAAAATAAGCCAAGAACACAAAGAGAAAAAGGCCCAGAATCCATAAACAGTAAACTGTAACTCACCTGAGGATTATGGCAAGCTCCAGATTCAAGGTCTGAACAGGTCTCAGGAGATGGGATCCTGCGGGCGGGGCAGCACCCCCTGCAGTCGGGAAGGCCAAGTTTCAGGCCTGAGACCAAGCCCCGCCTCTCACTCCCCCACTCGATGTAACCCCAAGGGCCCGCCCTCACACTAGGGACGATGCTGATTGGGTGCGTCCTCTGTGACGTCATGCAGCCTCTGTGACTGTTGAATCAGGTGCGCCATGGCAACAGGGCAGACCCTGGGGGATCCTCTTCCTGGTCTGCTCCTGAGAGAGCCCTGGTCAGCTCAGACACTTCTACCCTGAACTCCCCTCAGCGCAGGGCCCTGAGAGGACGCCCGGAGTCCCTGGACGCAGGAAGCGGTGAGTGTGAGTCCCAGGCCCACAGGAGGTGAGGGGGGCGGGCAGCTGGGACCCTGGTGTAAGGCCCTGTCTCAGTGTGCAGCGACTCCGCCTGAACCCGGCCTCACCTCTCCAGGTTGTGTGGGGAGAAGGAGAATCTGAACCTCACCCGTGACCTGATTTCCTTGAGTTGGGCACCTGGGTCTCAGGTCCATAGCTTTTCCTAGGGATCTGAATCAGTGTTTTGTTGCTAATGATGTAACAGCAACCACATGTTTTTGGGCCAAGGATGCGGAGCAGGGTGTGGGGACGGACTTTCTGCTGGTGAGGCTTGGGATGGCACAGATCCCACGTGGACAAATGGAGAGTGGGGGAGGCCAACCCCAGGTAGTGTGAGCACCAAGACCTGGAGCCTGGGGAACCTGAGTGTGGGTTCAACAGGCAGCCTCCCAGCGCTCATTCCATTCATGTCTTTTGTAGAAATTTGCTTCCATTTATTCACAGTCTGCCCACTTGTGTAGGAACTGTGTGACATGATTTGAATGTTACACTGATGTTTTCTTTGATGAAACCTGAGTTTATTCAGTGATAAGATTTGAAAAAGGAAAGAGGATCTTTTATTTTCTGCTAAGTTTGATTAATAATGTAAACACTAATGGAATGGCTACCCAGGTAAATAAGTGGGCCTTGGTCAGTTCAGGGGTCTTGTTTCTTTTTGAAGTTTTATTTATTTATTTGAAAGGTAGAGTTACAGAGAGGTAGAAGTAGAGAGAGAGAGAGAAAGAGTGAGAGAGAGAGGTCTTCCATCCATTGGTTCACTCCCCCAGTTGGCCACAATGGCCAGAGCTGTGCTGATCCAAAGCCAGGATCCAGGAGGTTCTTCCTGGTCTCCCATGGGGGTGCAGGGCCCCAAGAACTTGAGCATCTCCCACTTTCCCAGGCCATAGCAGAGAGTGGGATGGGAAGTGGAGTAGCTGGGTTGGGAACCGGCACCTGTATGGGATGCTGGCAATGCAGGCGGCAGCTTTATCTGCTGTGCTACATTGTTGGCACCAGGGGTCTTCTTGATCTCTTCTACCTCTGCCCCCACTGGTGAATGAGCTGAGGTTCTTTTTAATGTTGTGTGTGTGTGTGTGTGTGTGTGTGGCATAAAGCTATTACTCTCAGCTGGTGCCGCTGGTGGGTTAGTATGTAATGTGGTTGCAATCATTTTCTTTGTTATGCTTTTTTTAAAAGTCTTATTTATTGATTTTTGTTTATTTGAAAGGCAGAGAGACAGAGAGAGGGAGATCTTCCATTGGCTGTTTCACCCCCTCTGGAAAAAAAAAAAAAAACCTATAACAGTTGCAACTCAGCCAGATTGAACACAGGAGCCAGGAAGTCCATCCTGGTCTTGCACATGTGTGGCAGGGACCCAATAACTTGAGCCATCCCCTATTGTCTCCCAGGGGGTGCATTCACAGGAAATTGAATCACAAATGGTGTTGCTGAACTCAAAGGTGGCACTCTTATATGGGACATGGTTATCAAAATTGGAGTGTCAATTTGTTAAGTGTCAATTTGTTAAGTCAACAACAGGAGTCACTGTGCACATACTCCCCATGTAGGATCTCTGTCCTTAATGTGTTGTACAATGTGAATTAATGCTATAACTAGTACTCAAACAATACTTTACACTTTGTCTTTCTGTGTGGGTGCAAACTGTTGAAATCTTTACTTAATATATACTAAATTGATCTTCTGTATATAAAGATAATTGAAGATGAATCTTGATATGAATGGAATGGGAGAGGGAGTGGGAGATGGGAAGGTTGCGGGTGGCAGGGAAGTCTTGGGGGGGAGGCCACTGTAATCCATCAGCTGTACTTTGGAAATTTATATTTATTAAATAAAAGTAAAAAAAAATGGTGTGTTTAGCTGTTGCACCAAACGCCCATGCCGATTCTTGTTTTTAAACATTTTTTGTAATCTTATTTTATATTTTAAAATTTTTTATTAATTTAATTCATTAAAGGCAGAGATACAGAGTGATATACCATGTGCTGGTTCACTCCTTAAGTTTCCGACACTGTGGTATAACAGGTAGAGCTGCCAACTGTCGGTTTATTAATAGTCCCATATTATATATATATATATATATATAATATCATATTTCTATGATCAATTATGTCTTTTTTTAAAGATTTTATTTATTTGTTTGGGAAGCAGTTAGAGACAGAGAGGGAAAGAGAGAGATAAAAGGTCTGCATCCACTGCTTCACTCCCTAAATGGCTCCAAGGGCTGGAAGGTGGTCTGATCCAAAGCCAGGAGCCAGGAGCTTCCTCCAGGTCTCCCACATCAGTGCAGTAGCCCAGGGCTTGAGCCATCTTCCACTACTTTCCTAGGCCATAAACAGAGAGCTGGTTGAAAGTGGAGCAGCCAGGTGACAAACCAGTGTTGATATGAGATGCTGGTGCTGCAGGTGGAGTCTTAGCCCACTGTCCCACAGTGCTGATCCCCAGCCATGGCTTTTAATTTCTGTGTTTGTCTGATAATTGTGGTGGCCTTCTAATTGGCTGTAGGAAATATAAGCAGAGAAAAGAGTGCATTGCTTTGCTAGGGTGTCCATAACATAATACTGTCGAATATGTGGCTTGAATCACAGCAATGTATTTCTCATTGTTCTAGAGATTGAATATTTGAGAGCAAGATGATAATGGGTTTGGTTGCTCCTGAGACCTCTCTTTGGTTACCACATAGCCACCATGTTGCTGCACTTTTACATGGTATTTCCTCTGTCTATGTGCATCCCTCCTTATAAGAACATTGATCAGTTTGAATCAGGGCTTCACATTTATGATATCATTTGATGTCAATTATCTGCTTAAAGTCTTATCTCCAAATAGGGTCACATTGGTTGTCAGCGTTTCATGATATAAATTTTAGAGAGATACAGATCAGCCTGTAGTACTTAGAAGGACCCAGGGATTTGCCCTGTAGGAAGCTGTCTCCAAGGAAGACTTCATTTTTGAAATGTGTGTTAATGTTTCTCACAGTATCATTTTCTTTTTTTTTTTTTTTTTGACAGGCAGAGTGGATAGTGAGAGAGAGAGAGATAAAGGTCTTCCTTTACCGTTGCTTCAACCTCCAATGGCTGCTGCGGCCAGCGCGCTGTGGCCGGCGCACTGAGCTGATCTGAAGCTGGGAGCCAAGTGCCTCTCCTGGTCTCCCATGCAGGTGTAGGGCCCAAGCACTTGGGCCATTCTCCACTGCCCTCCCGGGCCACAGCAGAGAGCTGGCCTGGAAGAGGGGCAACTGGGACAGAATCCGGTGCCCCAAACGGGACTAGAACCCGGTGTGCCGGTGCTGCAAGGTGGAGGATTAGCCTATTGAACCATGGCACCAGCCTCACAGTATCATTTTCAATACCGTATGTAAATATTGCTGCATGCATGAACACACATGTGCACAAACCCCTGTATACATTAGATACATTATTGTGAAGATGTTTAATGGTTGCATGGAGGTAAAGTTGATATAGTAATCCATATGATGACATACTGGGGCCAGCAGTGTGGAATAGAAGGTTGAGCCTCTGCCTGCAGTGCCAGCACCCCATATATGTGCGGGTTCAAGTCCTGGCTGCTCAACTGCTCATCCAACTGCCTGCTGATGCACCTGGGAAAGCAGCAGAAGATGGCCCAAGTGCTTGGACCCTGCACCCACATGGGAGACCTAGAAGAAGCCTCTGGATCCTAGCTTCAGCCTAGTGTAACCCCAGCTGTTGCTGCCATTTGGGGAGTGAACTAATGGATGGATGTTCCATCTCTATCTCTCCCTCCCTCTCCCTCACCCTTTCTCCCTCCCCTTCCTTCCCTTCCTCCTCTTCTCTCTGTATCTCTGCCTTTCAAATAAACAAATCTTATTTAAAAATGACACAGTAACAAACATTAAAACAATATGAAAAGTAGAAAAATGATAAAACTGAATAAGTGTGTTATCCAATATCTAATTCCTAAAACATAAACAGCAAACAGAGGAGTGTTTTCTTAACATGGTTAAATTTTTTAAATTATAATTACTCAAAACTTAAACTTTTCATTATAGGGACACAATGGCAAGCTACTTTACCAAAAGCATAAATCCAATGCCACTATAGTAATTTTTCATTATTGTTTCCTATTTTTTCAATATTATCTACTTAATTGTGAATTATGGTGGGCTTTTCTGCTCTTTGAATACCACTTACAGTATTTAAGAAATTTACAAATTTATCATCGATTGTGTTTTTTCAACACAGGCACTGATATTGCCAGTTTAGTGAACACTGGGGTGATCATTGCAGGATTTAAAATGAAATTTATATTATAATGACATAGGTCTCCCTAAAATCTTCAAAGCCTCCAAAGCACATAAATTATCACATCAGTAATTTATTAGAGATATTTGATTTAGTTTTATTTTTATGGTTAATGTGTCATTACTGTTTGGCAGTTAGAAATATAATTGATAAAGCAGGACTAAGAACCAAAGGGATCACATAAACAAGAATAGTGTCTGCAAATACTAGCTGATAGAATCAAAAAGGGAGAGAATGATCCAACATGGGAAGTGAGATACACAGCAGACCCATAGAATGGCAAATGTCCTAACAGCACTCTGGCCTCATAATCAGCCGTTAAGGCATGAGGATCCGGCTGAAATGCCCAGGAGAGTATTTCAGGCATGGAAAGCCAAGACACTCTGGGGGAAAAAAAAAAAAAACCTAAATGAAAGATCTCTGCGAGTGAGATCCCAGTGGAAAGAACGGGTCATCAAAGAAGGAGATACCTTTCTCTGAAGGGAGGAGAGAACTTTCACTTTGACCATGGCCTTGTCTAAATATGATCAGAGTCAGTGAACTCAGGGGGCTTCCATAGCCTTGGCAGCTCATGACAAGAGCCTAGGGTGATTACTGATGCCATAAACAAGAGTGTCAATTTGTTAAGTCAACAACAGGAGTCACTGTGCACTTACTCCTCATGTAGGATCTTTGTCCTTA